TCGCGCTATTCCGCCGACGACTTGACACTTGACTGACTCACGACTGCCATCCAGAGCACACGAGAAGTCCATCGAACCTTCGACTCGGCAAACCTGCAAGAAAGCACCACTCCCTGCTCAATACACAGTGTTTCGGGGAATTCACCCCTCATCAGTTGAGCTTGAGTAGGCTGAGGAAGATTGTGCTTGAAGAGCACCACTTATAGTGCTGTCCAGGCACAAACATCACCAGGGATACAAACTTACAGAGACACTCCGTTTCCAGCGCAACAAACACCTCGCAAACACCAGATAGCAGCGTGAGTCAGTTAGCGCTCCTGGACGGTGAGAACAGACGTAGAGGAAGAGTACATAACCTCCTGGGGCTTATTAATGTACTGCTGGCCGAATGGATAGAATTCCGATATCGCGATAGGATACAGCAGGCAATCTAGGGATTCCGTGTTGAAGAGGCGTCCAGAGATTTGCCGTGGCATAGCCAGCCATGCGTGAGATTCTCCGCCTCTCCTGTCACCGTGTGGTCCAGTATGGGTGCGGCTGTGCGGGTGTTGTGTTAATCTCCGTCTACTGCACGCCACATAGCGTTGCTGAAGATGCCACGAGTAAACTAGGCATCGCCGTGCATCCGTGTTACAATAATTTGAAAGGCATAATGCCGTGCACCTTCAAGTAAAAAAATTAAAAACGTATTGCCACACGTTAAAGGGGAAGTTAAGCCTACAATTACAATCACTTTTTCACCAATTGTAGTCTTCGAGGTTCTGAGTCGAATGGTCTTGGTCCGAGAAAGCTGAGACTTTCCCTTCCTCCTTTATTCCCAATCCAACTCGCGCACTTCCACCGAAACTGGGTGACTGCGCCCTGCTACATTGTAGATGGGGATTTGTATGCAAAATGTCACTAAAATTAAAGCGCTCTTTCGGTCTTATACAATGTGCAGTGTACATGTACATGTACATGTATGCAATGTCCTCTTGGCGACACGATCATTTCGTCACATTTCCCGTTTTAGGCGATTCGAGGGTGAACTACTTATCTTCTTTTTCGTGGAAACCATTTGTGCAGCAATTCACACCTCTGTGACACTGTGTGAATACGTGTCAATAATATCCATCCACTGTTCCAGCTTGTGGGATTGCCATGGGAACTCACGACGGCCGCTAACACCCGGTAAACCCTGATTGCCATTCACAACTACATGTACATGATATTGTAATTTAGACATTAAGGAGTTCAAGCTTCAGCTTCTTCGTCCTAAATAATCTCACCATTTTCGTCATGCCTCCCCTTGCAGTACTCTCTTTGTTTCTCTCCTTATTATTCAGTTCGCCGTGGTTGGCTACCACCCGACTTCTCATTATATTGGCAGTCTTCTGACGAGCCAGGAGATGTTGAATTAAAAATAAAACATGATATTGTAATTTGTACATGTATAAAAATCACTGCAACTTGTTGTCTTGTAAGTAATTTAGGTGTAAAGTGTGTGTTTTTAATATCTCTTCAACTCCTCTGTAGAGTAATACTTGGAAAAGAACAAAAGAGCATGCTACAGCCTAGGCGGTCAAGTCTGTGCATGTACATGTACATGCACATGCACATGTGTATGTGTGTAATACTATGTACACGGTAGATCTACGTGTGTCTGAATGGGTGTCTGAATGGGTGTCTAAATCAAGACTTACAAACACTAGTACTACTACTACAAGTAGGACAAGTACACAATGTAACGTTACATATTTGTAGCGGCATCCGTCTCTAAAACCATCCGTGTAAAGCCGTAACGGCTTTAATACGTCGTAACAACGCACATACATGTACATGTATGTGCGTTGTTACGACGTAAGCCGTTACGTCTTTACACGGATGCTGTACTGTATATCCTTCCCATGATAACCTGTGTGTGTGTACATGTACGTAGGTTTGCGCACATACCACGTACATGTACATGTGCATGTATCTACCCATGCAGTAAAACTAAAAGACTTGGCAGCTAGCGCGACTTGTAGAACCTGCATAGCAGGATTGATTGATTGTGTAGATCTACAATATACAGCTGTACAATCATCACGTACATGTACACGTACATGGTAGGTAACGCTGGTCTAACACTACTGTGCACCGGACGTCAATAAACCAGCACTGTCTGGAGGTGAACGACCACAGAGCTCAGCCCCTGTTGCGACAGTCAAACAAAACACCCCAAGATTGCATCTTGTCAACTCTACAGCATAATTATTATTGTTGTTTTACCAGATCCTCCTCGACAGTGTATACACGCAGTTTAATACTATTAAAATTTAGAACATTTACAGACAGAGCTAGAGTTACATCTATTACCGGTATCTACATCATGTGCATGTACATAACGGGCACTGCACTGGCCGCCCGGACATACATGTAAACGACCACGCTCATGTTGAAACACTGGCGACAGAGCTACATGTACATGTACATGTACGTGTACGTGCACATGCCCGGGATACTAGTACTAGTAGTAGTGGCAGTGGCAGTAGGTAATTGCACCCAAGGGCGGTTACATACATGTAGCTCACACGGTTCACTGGGAAGTCTGGATCCAGGGAGACTGAAGATGACACACTAAACTAAGCAGCTCTGTTGCGAAGATGAATGTGATAGGACACGAGGTATCCTGCGCTCCCCCCGTTAATTCTACACTGGCTACTTCAATTAGCTGAGGGAGCATGTCTGAGGGACATTGTTGAAAGGGAAAAACAACTCTGGCCACTCTCTTCAGTATTAATTTTTCTCTTCATAAGGATGTCAGGGGCTTGCCGCTTTCTCGCTTGCTCATATTGGCACAATGGCGTGATGTGTTCAGGCACGGGTCCTGCTCGCCTGCCCTGTTTTCGCCCAGTGTACACTGTGTATCATGAGAATTCACTTGCTGGAGACAACGTGATTGATACAGTCATGTACATGTGTTCCTCCATTCTCTTTAAAAAGGCGTTTTGGTCGTTGAGCTTCCAAACATTCCGTAAAGTATTTTGACAATTTTATTATTATTATTCCACAATCACGATGACATACATGTAGTGCCAATAAGCATGTGATGCGGGCGATTTTAACCAGCCATGGTGAATTTTAGCAGAGCACTGAACAGGGCGTGTGACGGTATTCTCACTACGTATTGACGCCTCCTGCGAAGTCTCACGCACACCGTACAGGAGTTAACACCTTCCACATTACACCAGGGGGAAGCTGCCCGTGTTTAGATGACGTCAGTTGCCTTTTGTTCATTACGACAGGCTCAACCCCCGGTGTTCACTTAGGACACTACATGTGGACACATGTGTTAAGATAAACTCTGAGAAAACACCCTCTTGTCGTGATCGCATCGGCAACACAGCCATTGCACGTTTTCATTTCGGGGGGGGGGGGAGAGGTCCTTGCCAAAGACGTTTACACTTTTGTAGTGTTTTATTTTTTTTATTTCGGCCAGTCGGCTACTATCATTTCGTCTTGGGGGTTAGACAAGTGGAAGTAGCCATGTAGGGGCGTTAGCCCGCCTTTTGGCACCGGGAGTTGCAGCTCGCTCGACTTGACTCTACTGAGTGCAGAGGACCCACACCTTGATCTGGTGAGCTGCGTCGTTGGGATTTTGCAGTCAGATGTGCGACTGCGGGGCTCGAACCCACGACCTCTTGGGTCGCAGGCAAGTGCAGTACCCAATGTACTACCGGGAGCTTTTGTTGTTTGTATTCTCCTGTTGAGGGCAATCGCAGACACACCCTAGTCATTGCCACTGCCTAGTATCGGAGCGTGCGAGACTGTCCCACGTGTACAGCATATAATTATGTTCATGTACAATGTACCTGTTCGTGCAGTATGGTCTTTTTTCTTTTGTTTTCCTTTTTTTCGGGGTACGGCCTCTTTTACTGGCAAGATAAAGTCTGTAGATGTGAAAAGTAGAGGTACCATAAAAGAAAAAAATGCTGTATGCAGTATGGCTTATGATGTACAATGCACAATGTACGACCTTCGTCTCCGGGGTTCACGTCGTCGCCTCGGTGGGCTGGCAATTTGCGATGGTGTCGGCCTTGGCGTTGGCCGCTAACATCCATGCGTATGGCACAACTTGTGTGTGTGTGTGTGTGTGTGTGTGTGTGTTTGGTTTCTTTTCTTTTTCGACCTTTTCAGCTGCCATTTGCCCTGAATCATGCCTCATGCGTGTTTCACAGCATAGTACGTTTCCGCTCATTTTCTTCTTCAACACACGCCAGCTGTATTACTTTGTTCTTGCACGTACAAGAGGCTGTATTGTTCCGTGTGAAAATGTGCGTGCATGTTCCTAGGTACTAGTAGTAGTGGGCTGGGGATACAACCTCCTCCCTCTCTTGTACCCTGCCCATTGTTTAATGATAAAGTTTAAGGAGCTAGGGAAATAATTTGTTCTAGCAACACGACATACCTGTACATGTAAGTCATAGAGCAGCAGGTTTATTATGTGACTCTTGAATTGGTTCAAGCATGCATGTCTGGTATTCTATGAGAACTACATTGCACATGTACGAGTACATGACGTCATGACATACAATCACACAGTCATGTACTGACTGCACTGCAGACAAATGTAGTGACAGTGGTGCTACTACTGTAGTGTAGTGTCACGCCAGCTAGCACGTCATTGCCGTTACGAGAACCCGCAGTGTTCGTGCCGGTCTTTATACGTCACACCATCACTGCAGTATACAATCATGGACTTACACCCACGATAACCCTAACCCACGACTGCCGGTAAAAGCTAAACCGCATTATGGCACAGGGAAACAATAGTGGTCCACCAGGGGCTTTCCCTTCTCTGTTTGTATAGCAAAGTTGTGATAGCGCCTAGCCTCTAGTACTAGTATAATGTCTCGTAGGAACAGTGAATTTGTCCATTTGCTTGCGAACTGAGCTTGCACCTACTTCAGTACTGTCTGTACGCGTACACGTATGAAGAAAAGCGAATGTCCTGTCTCTGATCGCTTTTCAATGGCAAACTAACCTTAGTAGGTCCTGGTTTGAGTCAAGCATCCAAACAGTCGTGCCACTCTTGACGTTCTGTAATACGGCATCAGCACTTTAAGTCGGAGGTTTTGCTTAGCGGAAGTCTGCTGGTCTCCTGAGGCTTCCTGGATGCGTGAATAAAGGTGACCGGACATTCTTGTTCACTATACCCAAG